TCTCCATATTCTTGCCAACACTTCTTATTTCTTGTGTTTTTAATTTCAGCCATTCTGAAAGAACCACCAAAGACCCTAAATAGCCAAATCAACCTTGAAAAAGAAAAGCAAAGCTGGAGGCATCCCAATTCTGGACTTCAAGTTATATTACAAAGCTTTAGTGATCAAAACATTATGGTATTGGCAGAAAAATAGACACACAGATCAATAGAACAGAATAGAAAACCCAGAAATGAACGCACAACTATATGGTCAATATTCAACAAAGCAGGAAAGAATATCCAATGAGAAAAAGACAGTCTCTTCAACAAATGGTGTTAGGAAAACTGGATAGAAACATGCAAAAGAATGAAACTGGGCCACTTTCTTATACCATACATAAAAAGAAATTAAAATGGATTAAAGGCCTAAATGTGAGACCTGAAACCATCAAAATCCTAGAGGAGAACACAGGCAGTAACCTCTTTGACATCAGCCATAGAAACTTCTTTCTAGATATGTTTCCCGAGGCAAGGAAAACAAAAGCAAAAATGAACTATTGGGACTTCATCAAGATAAAAAGCTTCTGCATGGCAAAGGAAACAATCAACAAAACGAAAAGGCAACCCTCAGAACGGGAAAAGATATTTGCAAATGACATGTCTGATAAAGGGTTAGTATCCAAAATATATAAAGAACTTATAAAACTGAATACCAAAAAAACAAATAATCCAGTTTAAAAATGGGCAGAAGACATGAACAGACACAAGGAATAGAGGAATAAAAAATCCCATAAGATATATAGAAAAGGAAAAATTAAATGACACATGCAAATCCAAGTATATAAATGATTACAATAACAAAATCTAATAAAAAAGCAAAGATTGTGAGAGTGGATTTTTAAAAATGATACAACTATATATACAGTAGAAATGCTTAATAACCCACAATACAAACTGATTGAAAGTAAAAAAAATATGGCAAAAGATGTATCACGCAAACAACAACTGCAAAAAAGCTGAAATGTTTATGCTAGTGTCACACAAAATAGATTTCCAAACAGGAATATTTCATAATGATAAAAGTGTCAATCCATCATGAAGTATAAATAAATAAATAAATAAATAAATATAAATAAAAATCTATTGTATTTTGGGGGAGGGAGGAGAAGGAGCCAATGCAATGGTTAGTCTTTAGTGGAAGGAAGACACTTCACAGCACATTTTGAGTAAGTTAGTACAAAGGCTCAGTGGGCCAACTGGTGGGGCACCAGCTTGTAATGGGTTCCACAGCTAGGGCATCACTGGATCTCACCTTTGTGCAGCCAGAAACAGATGAAGGCACTATTGTCCTCTTCAAAGATGCAGCTCACTATTTGCTTGTTGGTGATAGATGGGACTAAATTAGGGTCTTCTTTGGTGCCTGAAGTTGCCTGTGGGGCTAGCATATTTATGGGTCTAGCCCCTTCCATGCAGTCATCATGACCTCCCTCTCCAGCCCAGGTGCCTGCTCGTCTCAGTAGGAACACCACGTGCAGATGCCATGAAGTGCACCATGGTGACTTACTGGGACCGTGGGCCCTGAGGTCTTGCATGGCCAGCACTCCAATTCCACGAAGTAACCTTGAAGCCATCACATCCACCACAAACAGCCTCTGTTGTATTTTTATACACTTGCAATGAACAATCTGAAAATAAAATTAAGAAAACAACTCCATTCACAATAGCATCAAAAAGAATAAAATACTTAGAAATAACTTAACAAAAGAAGTGTAAGACTTGTAAACTGAAAACTAAGACACATTGTTAAAAGAAATTTTAAAAGACCTACATATATGGAAAAACATCCTATGTTCAAGCATTAGGAGACTTAATTTTATTTTACTTTATTTTATTAAGATGAATATACTCCTCAAATTGATCTATAAATTTAATAAAATCTCAATCAATATCCCAGCTGCCTTATTTGCAGAAATTGACAAGCTGATCTTAAAATTCATATGGAATTAAAAGAGGCCCCAAATAACCAAAACAATCTTGGAAAAGAACACAGGAGGAGGACTCACACTTCCTGATTTCAAAACTTACTACAAAGCTACAATAATCAAGACAATGTGTTACTGGCATAAGACTAGACATACAAACCAATGGAATAAAATTGAGAGTCCAGAAATAAACCCATAGTCTATGGTCAATTGATTTTCAACAAGAGTGCCAAAATCATTCAATGGGGAAAGAATATCCTCTCCCAACAAATGGTGCTTGGACAACTAGATATCCATACATAAAAGAATTAAGTTGGATCCCTACCTCTAGCATATTTAAAAATTAACTCGAAATAGAGCATAGACCTAAATGTATGAGTTAAAACTACAAAAATCTTAGAAGAAAGCCTAGGAGTGAATCTTCATGACGTTGGATTTGGCAAAGTACTCTTAGACATGACACCAGAAGCATGAGCAACAAAAGGGAAAAAAAGATATTTTCTATTTCATCAAAATTTAAAACTCTGTGCTTCAAAAGACACCTTCAAGAAAGTGCAAAAAGGGTACACAGAGTTCAGAGTACGAAGTTTCTGCGGGCTACATGGGTAGGAATTGGCTGGTTGTATTTAGAGGGACTATCAATGGACACCCAAAAGGACATTCAACCCCCAAAGCGGCAGCCAATGATACATATCTGCAGAGAATGTCACCCAGAAAATGAAATAAAATCCAGGGATCCAATCAGATGCAGAGAATGTGGATACAGAATAATGTACAAGAAAAGGACTAAAAGATTGGTGGTTTTTGATGCTCAATGAAACATGGAATTCAGAGGATTATCTTCATTTGTACTTGGATTTGCTGTTAATGTTGTATAGCTTTTGATTAGTGTACATACCTTTACAAATACAAATAACATTTCATTTTAAAATCCATCTTGTATTTAGATATCTATTTAATAGTTTCTATAAAGAAAAGTTTTTTGTTCAATTACATGATTTATAATTTACTTTTATTGTATATGTAATCTGACACAGAGTGAAACTTTCAAGTGCTTCCCTAAACCACTCTTTTAATTAAGGCCTAGAATCTTTTGGGATTCTTGTTAAAAATGAAGTTTTCTAGGGCCCTGTGAAGGTCTGAGTAAGTAAGTTCCTTGGGAACTACTGTTTTACATCACCAACTTTGTAAACTCTCCAGCATCATTTTGTATTGAGTATACCAATGTACTTAGCATGCATGCATTATTTTGAGTTAAATTTTTCATTTAAAAAAAAAAGCGTACACAGAGTGGGAGAAATACTTACAAATCATATATGTGATAAAGGACTTGTACCTAGAATATATAAAGAATTCTTACAACTCAATAATAAAAAGACAAATAACCGAGTTTAAAAGTGGGGAAAGGATCTGAGTCTACATTTCTTCAAGGAAGATACACAAGTGGCCAATAAGAATGTAAAAATATGCACATTGTCATTAGTCTTCAGGGAAATGCAAATCAAAACCACAATGAGCTATACCGCTTCACACCCACTAGGATGTCTAGAGTCAAAAAGTCAGAAAATAACAAGTGTTGGAGAAGAAACAGAGCAATAAGAACCCTCATACATTGCAGCCACTATGGAAAACAGTCTGGCATTACCTCAAAGCATTCAACATTCAGTCACCACTGAACTCAGAAATTCCACTCCTAGGGTTCAAAGCCAAAAGAGTTCAAACATGTGTTCAGACAGACATTTGTAAACAAATGATCAGAGCAGCATTATTTATAATAGCCAAACGGTAGAAACAACCCAAATGTCCATCAATAGGTAAATGGATTACCAAAATGGTACATCCACACAGTGGAATATTACTCAGTCATAAAAATGAATGTGGATGAACCTTTAAAACATTATAGTAAGTGAAAAAAGCCAGTTATAAAGCCAGAAAAATTTTCTATGAAAAGAAGCCACATATTGTATAATTCCCTTTGTAAGAAATGTCCCAAATAAGGAAATCTATAGAGACAGAAAGTAGATTAGTGGTTGCCTAGGGCTAGGAGGGAAGGATGATAGAGGGGGGATGGGCTAAAAGGTAGGGGTCCGTTTTGGGGATGATGAAACTATTTTAAAATTGACTGTGGTGAGGATTGCACAACTCTGTGACTATACTAAAAACCATTGAATTGTACACTTCAAATGAGCAAATAGTATGGTATGTGAATTATATATCAATAAAACTGTTTTTTAATTTAGTAAGGCAATGATAAGGGATTATATTTTTTAAAAAAAAGAACAAAGGATTCGGAGAGGCCATTCCCAGAAGAGGAAACACAAATGGTCAATGCACAAGAAATGGTATTGACCTCATTAGTAGTCAGGGAAATGTAAAACAAAGCAATGAGCACGTTTTTATTTAACTACATTAGACTGGCAAGAATTCAGAAAGACTATAACATGATGCTCGAAAAAAATGTGAAGAAATGGCCTTTTCACATATTGCTAAGTAGAATTTACATTGCTAAGTATTTTTACAATGTATAATGCCCAAATCCATTACATTTAAAATGTTCATACTCTTTGACTTCCCGGTCCGTTTTGAAAGACTCTATCTCACACAAATAACATATGTGTGACTATACTTAGAATCATTATTGCAGCATTGTCATGGTAAAAGGAAAATGAGTTGGAAATGGAGGATGTCTATGATTCTTTATTAACTGCAAAAAACAAATGCCAGAATAATGGTCCAATTTGATCCAATCTTTGTAAAATCAAACAGCAATAAATTTTTATGCGTATATATATGTGCATGGCAATACACATGAAAGAATATATCCCAAGCTGTTAATATCTTGGGGAGGGAGGGGTCAGATAATTATGGATCTACCTTTTTGTGTACATTTTGGATTGTTTTGCTAGTTTTAATGAAAAGGTATTACTTTTGCTATTTGGAGATAGAGAAAAAAATTAAGAAGAGGCGGTGGGTGGAGGAATGAGAAAGGAAAGGAAGGCGCTGTATTTTTTTTCCGCGGCTGTTTCTGTGTGCGCTCCTTTTACAGACAGTGTGGCAGCCCCGGGCGTCGCGTCTACGCGCGGGATTACAGTAACTCGGTTGTCAGTGATGAGTCAGAGTGCGTGGTGCTGATGCTGCTGCCATTTCATCACCTCTGCGAGCGCAGCATCCATTCCTTCGCTCTCCCTGCGCCTGGGCCTACCTCGCCTCAGGCTCCCAGGCCAGCGATGTGCTCGCTGCCGATCTAGATCCGGACCAAGCCACGCTCTCCGAGGCCTCGGCTGGGCGCCCCTCTCGCCGCCCACGGCCGGCCCGGGCCTAGGAGACCTGCTGATCCCTGGCCATGGAGGCCATCTGGCTATACCAGTTCCGGCTCATTGTCATCGGGGATTCCACGGTGGGCAAGTCCTGTCTGATCCGCCGCTTCACCGAAGGCCGCTTTGCCCAGGTTTCGGACCCCACTGTGGGAGTGGATTTTTTCTCCCGTCTGGTGGAGATCGAGCCAGGAAAACGCATCAAGCTCCAGATCTGGGATACCGCGGGTCAAGAAAGGTTCAGGTGGGAGCGCAGCCGGGGCCGTGAGCAGTGGGAGGGTCTTCGCGGCTTGAACAACCCCTGGGGAAAGAGGACTTCCTGGTCCTGGTCGCGGCCCCATAGGGACGATACCAAGGGTCTGGGGATTTCTGCTCAAGCCCACCTTCAGCTAGCCGGGAGTTCAGTGCAGGGTAAGAAGCACCCTGGCAGGGAGGGCCAGTCGATAATACGTATTGCTTGCACAATTCCACCAATCTGCCCCTTGGGTGGCTAATAAACTAGCTGGAATTGATCACGGTAATTATCAGTCTCAGTCCTTATGCTATATTACTTTCAAAAACGTTTCCAGGTCATCCTAACATAACTGACAGGTATAGACAGATGATATACAGAGATAGCTACTTATAGACATAGATACAGATATAGATATATAGAGATACACATAATTATATGAAATAGATACTGATGATTGATTCCTTCTTGCAACCAGCACACATTCAGAGATCATCCACTGCATGCCAGGCGCTGGGCTTGTTTCTGGGGAAACAGCCCGAGGAAACACACAAGAGGATGCCTTGTAAACAAAACAGACACAGGCCCTTCCCTCTTAGAACTTCTGTGCTGGCATAGTGGGAGGAAATACATAATCAGCAATTATACAAAAGAGTGTCTTGTTCATATTTGTATGCCCACTCCCTACTATAACGCTCAGCATATAATGAGTAACCAATGAACAGGTTTAATTTTCTCCTACAACCCTTTGTCTTTCCTTTGTAGTATGCATCATGTGTAATTATATGTCTGAACACAGAAAAGGCTACCTGGAGAAGATGACTACCCAAGCAAAGACAGGAAAAGCCCAGGGACAGAAAACAGCATGTATTAAGACAAGTGAGAGAGAGCAGTGTACACAGAAAACTTTGAGAGAACAATTTGAGCTAAAGTCACATAAGGCAGCAGGAACTAGATCAAAAGGACTCAATAGCCTTTATTCATTTTCAAATACGTTTATGATTATTTATTCATTTATTGAACACTAATTGAGCATAGGAAATACTGGTTAGGTAGTCGAAGAAGAGTAGAGAGAAGAGTTTACTACAAACTTGTCTCCACCCCACCCCACCCCCAACTTCCACAAACAACCCTTGTGACAAATATCCTTGTACAGGTTCACTTTGAATTGATTACATTTCTCATATTAGAAGTGAAAAAAGGTGTCTTTTATATGTTTACTGGAATCTCTTTCTGTATGAAAAGTCTTTTCATATCTACTGCTTATTATTTATTGGGTGATATTGATTTGAAAGTTTTTTATAGATTATTATCCTTTTCTGTCATATATGTTATAAAATATTCTCCTGGTTTGTCATTTGTCTTTGAACTTTAAGAAAATTTTTTGATGAATGGAAGTTTTAATTTTTATGTAGCCCTATATTGTGTTTAGAAAGGGCTTTGTTACTTTCTAAATACTCACAAACCATTAATATAATAATGTCTTTTAGAGTTTTGACAGGGATCTACAGCTTGCTCACCAATTTCCTGAACCAAGTTGTTCACGAATCAAAACCTTTGTTCGTGTTGAATTTTCTGATTACACCTACCATTCTCCATGAACCTTTAAACATAAGAGAATTAGAAATGCTTCCAGTCTCCAGGGCTGATTTGCCTGGTTCTGGAGACTTGAACTCATTTGTAACATTTGTTCTTACTATCATCTAGCTTGGACTGTAGTTCCCTGGACAATGTTTGTTCTCTTATCACTGGGCCATTTGTCCTAAGCCTTAAGCTATCGAGTCCCTCATTGTTTATCTTTTTCATCGAAGGAGACATAAAACCTAAAAATAGACATAGATCAAAAAGCACAGTAGTCTAAAACAAGTGATTGTAGAGGCAAATAGTTCGACACCCTCTAATAAGCTCTAATATGCTCTAAGTAAAGCACCCTAACATATGTATGCTCCTCAACTCAAGAAGTTAAAATATTGGACGTTTCTTGTTTAAGTACAGCAAAGGTTAGGTTTTAGAAATATTCCAGGTACACTGCTTTAAATAAGTTGTATCATTTTAAGGGGAAATTTTTGCTATTTGGGCAGTTTTTCCCAGTGGTAGCTCCTGAGTCAGCCTCTCTGAAATGTGTCAGGAAATAGGGCTGACAGGCACTCTGCTCGACACCTTCGCAGACCATTCTTATTTTTCCCATTTCTACATGGCCTAGAAAATAAAAAACAAAACGTGTTTCTCCTCAGAGAAGAGATGGAGGACCCCCTTAGAGTTAAAGAAGAAGTGATAAATGGGAAAAAATGGAGTATATTGCAACATACGTATATATACTCATAAACATTTTCTGTCATCTATCATAAATTCACTTCTAATCTTTTTAAATTCTCTTTCAACTGCTAGAATTTATCATGAGCTCTCCAGGTCAGAGAACATTTTAACATTCATTATTTCACTTTTCTTCATAATAATCTGTGACTTTGGTATCCCATTTTGCCAGGGTGGGAGAGTGAGCCGTAGTTCTACCTGAATCAAGGGAAAATGCCTGTAAGGCCATGAGCATTCTTTTCCAGAAGATGCTATCTCTTAGTGTTGCCCAATTGAAAATTCATGTGTTATTATTATTACAGATGACATTTGCATTCCATTGTTTAAAAAAAAGAAAATCATCTTTACTAAAGGACTGTGTCAGTAACCAGACACACTAGAATACACTGAGTTCATCAAAGTACAGGAGTTTGGGCATGGCCTTTATTCTTTACTTCTTTCTTGTGTTTTAGATCCATCACTCGCGCCTACTACAGGAACTCAGTAGGTGGTCTTCTCTTATTTGACATTACCAACCGCAGGTCCTTCCAGAATGTCCATGAGTGGTTAGAAGAGACCAAAGTGCACGTTCAGCCCTACCAAATTGTATTTGTTCTGGTGGGTCACAAGTGTGACCTGGATACACAGAGGCAAGTGACTCGCCACGAGGCAGAGAAACTGGCTGCTGCGTACGGCATGAAGTACATTGAAACGTCAGCCCGAGACGCCATTAATGTGGAGAAAGCCTTCACAGACCTGACAAGAGACATATATGAGCTGGTTAAAAGGGGGGATATTACAATCCAGGAGGGATGGGAAGGGGTGAAGAGTGGATTTGTACCAAATGTGGTTCACTCTTCAGAAGAGGTTGTCAAATCAGAAAGGAGATGTTTGTGCTAGTCAGCTGTTTTATTTCCAAAACATGCTCTCCCACCTGAACTTAAAAGTGATCAAAATGAAAAGAATCCCTGCGTGACTGAATGGACTCAACCTCCATTTTACATACAAGTGAGCCTCCTTCTAAGGGGTTTCTGACAGGCTGTGGGTGGGTGGATGTGGGAGCCTGGGTGCTGTGACCGAGGGACTGAATTACTGATATGGGCCAGGCACTGTTTGTGGCCCATTCTGGGCAGTGGCTGCTCCATGTGCCCTTTGTGGATCACATGTCAAGGGGCTGAGGTTTGGGGAGCTAGGCTCCAGAAAAATACACCCACAGACAGAATAACTATTTGTTGGTGTTCCAGCTCATTCATAGGTCACAAACATAAAGATATATGTAAAGGGGAAAAAAGTATCACATTGGAAACAATTCGCAAAACTAAAAATGACTATGAGATCAACTTAATCAGTGAGAATATCCCACACCAAGTGTGTGTGCTGGGTTTCGTTGTAAGGGACCGATTGGCTTCTAAACAGCTCATCCGTAGAATGAGGGGCATGGACCAGCTATTTACTATGACCCTTTCGAGGCCTGCTGTTCTAGTAAAATTGGTGTGACTATGAAAAGGGAGGCCATTACACATACTGATGTTATCACATTCCAGAAAATGTACACCCTTGTGATGGAATAACCAACAGTGTGAAAGGAAACTGTCCCATGCAAATTACCACATAAGTAGAAGAAACAGTGTAATCCATGCCATACCCTCTGTCCCTTCTGACCATGCCTTGAGTTTCACCTGCCTGACTCTTCAGGTACAGGGACTGCTGAGTACCTGCTCAACAAGAGGCGCTGTGACCCTGCAAACAGTCCCTTGAATTACTTACTGATCGTCACAACAGGCCTGTGAGGTTTTCTTCCCCATTTTACAAGAGTAAACTAAGAAGCAGGAGATTCACTTGGCTAAGGGGAAGGTCTCCTGACTCCTAGTTCTTGTTCCACTGCATCATCTTGTGCCTGCTATCAGATGAATGAACTGTTATTAATTTGTTTACTTTGGAAGAGATATGACTGTAAATAAATGTTCTCTACATGTTAGGATATGTTTCCTTATTGCTTACGACTCAGCTATAATCCTGAGGGAACCTGGGGATGAAACAAAAGGTAAAGCCAATTCAGGTATCATTGACAAGAGGGCTTTAAATGAGTAAATAATTGCACAACTCAAAACACATTAAAACTGTGTGGGCTACAAGTGTTCTTATCACTGAAACACAGTGGACATATTATTGAAAGGAACCAAATACAGCAATGGGGAGTGGGATGGGGATAAAATACTCAACTCACAATGACCTTAGCCACCTGTTTGCCATATAACTACACTGGATTCTTGGCTATCCTGGAGAGTCAGCTCTTAATTCTCAGGTGAACAGACATCTAATTGCATCAGAAAATTGAAATGGTTGGCTTAAGCTTCCATTATCTTCTTGAAGAGAGGTCATGCTTTAAATTATTCTTTGGACTGTAGCCAGTTGAGCTAGGCAAAAGCCATACCTTTCACAGTAAGAAAACAATTCTGAATAGTCAGGTTTCTCATATCCATTGTGATAGGAAGGCCTGACAATGGTAAATTGCTTTGACATATAATATTGAACTTCAGTATGAATGTGACTGAATCTGAACGTTTGGGAATTTACTTCAGCCAGAATGAAGCAGCCAAATAATGAAAATTATGGAAACAAACCACCTTGGACCAACCTGCAGCATCAACTACAAGTGAACCAATCATCATCTCTACGTTCATTCCACATGACCTGTCTTGGGTGGAGTAATTAAGTTGCCAGCTTTGTGGTTTCAGAAGGCAAATAAAAGATGGTAAATGGGTTTAAGACAAAGTTTCACCAACCACTATACTTAATTATATTAAGAAGATTCTGAAAGCAAGATTATCCAGTGGATAAATGAGTTGAGTGGATTCTGTCAGTTCAAAAAAAAAAAAAAAAAAGGATAGAAACAAAACTTTACAGTTTTCTTGTCTAAAATACATTATATGTATACTGTTCTCATTCCTTGCATTTTTTTAGGCAGGTTTAAAAATACTCAGCACAGGATCCAGCAAAGGTGGCTGAGCTTAATTGCTTAAACAAGTTCTAGAAATTTTAAAAATCATTTTAGTAGAATTCAGTGCTGTTGTCACTGCAATAAGTGGGTTTTAGAAAATAAGTGTGAAAAAATCAGGTGTTAATACAATACTAAGGATAAAGCTTTAGGAGCTATTTTACTACATAGGTAAAAGAAAAGATCAACTAACTTGTAACAAAGACCACAACTGCATGTTGGATTAGATTGTCTCCTATTCCAGAATAAAATGTACTGTAAACTTTTCCTCACTTTGTTGTGCATTGTAATGAAATGTGGAAAAATGTTTTCTTTAGCTGTATGTGAATGAGAATTTGCTTGTATTTAGTAAAATGGTTGATTATGTGACTGTGAGATTTCACGTGTGTGTTGTAGCTATTTCCACTATGCAAACAGTATTCACCAGCATCTCAAAGCTAGAACAAGAATATGATTTTTGAGAGATAGAATCATCACGTTGAAAGTCACAAAGGCCTCACTACTGCCTGAGAATCCCATGCCACTTCTGGAAAAGTTGGTTCTATCAAGCCTAAAGTTGAATGACTGCAATTTTTGGTCAACAATCTTAATTATGACACCGGGTAGCTGATCACAACTATTGTCATCCCTGGAATGTCTTCTGTTCCCCCAGGCTAAATTGTCTCAGCTTTTTCAGGTCCTACTATATGGCATGATTTTTTTGTCAGGATCCCTTGGAGTGTGGGGCCCAGATTAGAACACAACAGTTCAGAAGTGCCTGGGGTTTATAGTACATACTTAGGGGAGAGGAAAAAAGGGAAAGATGTTTGATTCTAAGTCTGGGCATAGGAAGGCTGAATTCCGCACAGCTTTATCATTTTTATAGTCATGAGTGAAGGAGGGAGGGAGGAAGGAAGGAAGGTAGAAAGGAAAGCCACCCATGTGACAGCATTTAATATAGTTTATCATTCCATTCTCCTTAAAACCCTCCCTAAAACCCCCAGGGCCTGATCATCTTTTCTTTAGTGAATTTCTTTGGTGACTTTATTCAGTCCCATGGCTGTAAATACCACATATAAGCCAATGAGTCCTGAATTTATATCTCCAGCTTGTCTCTTTCCCATGGACTCCAGACCTTTATAACCAACTGCCTACCCAACATCTCCATTTGAATGTGTGTTAGGCATCAGAAATTTAACATGTCCCAAACCAAGTTAATTTTCCTCCCCAAATTTGTTTCTCCCATAACCTTTACTTCCTCAGTAAATGGCAACTTTGTCCTTCTGTGTACTTTTGCCAAAAACCTTGGAGTCATCCTTGACTCCTCTCTTTCATAGTCTACATTTGATGTATCTGGTTACGCTGGCTCTGCCTTAAAAGTAACCAGAATCTCTCTGGTGAGATGTTGAAATGTTCTTCAAATGCACCAAGCACATTCACACCTCAGGGCCTTTGTACTTGCTCCTTACTGTATCTGGAATTCTCTTTCCTGAGATAACTGTCTGGATTTATCCCTCACCTCCATGAAGTTCTGAAACCAACAGCCTCCAAAATCTGCAAGCAGCTTCCCAATTCTAGAGAAGATGTGGCTCCAGAAGCTGTTCTTGACAGTTCAACATAGAGTATAATTCTTTAGTCTTCCTGGGGAACAACAAAGTTGCACATGTCCAGTAAAGGGCAAAGAAACTTACTTAGAAGGAGAGAATGGAAAACCTGGAGAGTCTAGTTTCACAGGAAGGAGTGGACAGTGGTATCATAATGTAGCAGTGGATTCAGAAAGATTATGGCTAAAATATATCCATAGGATTCAAGGGAGCAGGAAGTCATGAGTGACCTGTCAGCACAGCATTGGTGGAATGATTTCTGCCTACACCAAGCTCCTTAGGAAGCTGTTGTTCTCAGTTCTGTTGGAGTTCCAATTCTTTTCTTTTCTTTTTTCAATTCTTTTCTTGCTCTCCATTCTCTCCTCTACCTAGACAATCTTACCTTTGCTCATGACTCCAGTTACTGTCTTTGCATTGAGGACTCCCAAATGGAGGACTCCAGCCCATTCTTCTGAGCATTATAACAATACAGCCAACTTGCCTACTAAACACATACACAAATTCCTTATACTCAACATATCCAATATGAAATCAGTATCTATCAGACTGTGTTCCTTCCACCCCAATCTTTCTCATCTCCATAAATGACACCACCATCCATCCCTTTGTTCAACATACTTAGCAGTTATCCTTAATCCCTCACTTCTCCCCACCCCCCGCCTCCAATATAAGATCCATCATCAAGCATTATCAGCTCTATCTTCAAAATATATCTATCTCCATTGCTATAACCTTCATCCAGGCTACTACCAACTCTTTCCTGAACTACTTCGATATCTTCCTAAGTGCTCACCTTACTTTCTGTTCTTATTCCCAAGATACAACCTTAACATAACTGCCAGAATGGTCCTTTCAAAACAGAAAACAGATCAAGTCATTCCCTTGCTTACAACCCACCAATGGTTTCTCAGCACATTTAACATGGCTACAAGGCCTTGCATGATCTGGCCTCTGCCTACTTCTCCAATTGTGAGTTCCACAAACATAAGAATCTTATTCATCTTGTTCACCATTGTTTCTGCAACCTGTAACATACATATATGCTTGAATAACTAATAAATACTAGAATGAATGGTTGTTTTATTGCCCTGCTTTAATCCAATGACCTTGACTATTACCTCACTTCATAAAATACACACATGGCCCGATTCTGAAGCATGACCAAATTTTATACAGCCTCTAAAACCTCTCTGATTACAAGTTCTGGTTGTCCACTCTATCCCAAGAACCCTGTTTTACACTTCTTTAGGAACCTTCAGGCAATCAACCACTGCCCGCTGCCAGTCTATCAATGCACCCTTTGACTTTGTTTCCCTCCCTCTTTCTCCTGGCTCTGGTGGGGTCTGTCAGCTGCATTCAAGCCATTAGCTCCTAAAGAAAATGATTCTTAAAAGTTTGATCTATTTCCTTCTAGACTTTTTATTTATTTAATTTTTACTTTTCAAAATGTTATTTACATAGTGGTTAAGGGTATGGATTTTGAGTAAGACCAACATGGGTTCAAATTCTGACTCTACCAGTTAATATATATGTGTTTCAATTTCTCAGTCTCACTTTACACATATATTAAATTGGACAATAATAATATTCACCTCATAGAATTGTTGTGAGGATGAAATGAGATAATCCATATAAAGTACTTAGCACTTGGTAAATGTCACATAGTAAACATACTCACAAAATGCTTGGGACTTGTTGGGCGCCTGGGTGGCTCAGTTGGTTAGGCGACTGCCTTCGGCTCAGGTCATGATCCTGGAGTCCCGGGATTGAGTCCCGCATCGGGCTCCCTGCTC